CAGCAACCTGTGCTTCTGCTTGCTCCATCTCTGCCGAGGGCACATACTTGTGCACTTGGAAGAGAGGGGAGTCTGACGGGACTCCAGCAGCCTGGAGCGCCTCGTCCCACCCTTTCTTGAAGAACTCTTTGCTGTTTTCTTCAAGGGCGGGGAGCACGTCATCGGCAAACTCCTCCAGAAGTTGTTGCTCCGATTTCCGGGTCAGCTCCTCGGCTCTGATCCTATCTAGCTCCTGGGTAAGGGCCAGGCAGCTTTCCTCGGAGCCCACTGCCCTCTCCTCCGCCGCAGAGAGCCGCTGCGTTTGCTCAGTAATCCTCCTCTCAGCATCGGCAAGTGCGGCACTTAGCTTCTCAGCGCCCGACTTGGCCGATTCAGCGTCCTTGAGGAGTTGCTCTATCTGGGCAGCCTGCCCCACCAGGGTGGAATCCCTGGCAGCAACATCTTCCGTTGCCCGAGCAAGGGCAGCTTCCGCTTCTGCCTTCTGATCCTTGGCCCTCTGAAGATCCATCCTGGACGCGTAGTACCGGCCAGCAATGATAGAAATCTGCTGGGTAGCCTGTAAAGGAAGGAAAAGAGTGTTAAAAACACAAAAATAGAAAACGAGAGTGAAGGGATCAAAACAGGAATAAACTCACCACCAGGGAATTCTGGATCATGGAGCGGAACAACACGTTGGTTGATCGCCCCCTATGAGCCTCCATGTCGGCCTCGAAATGCAGTGTCTCACTCACTGCATTAGCGACATGAGGATCCGACAGAATAGAATCATCGACCCTGATCACTCTGTTCATGTGATCAGTGGCTCGAGGATTCCACTCTGCGGCCTCCCCCCGAGGCGGAACGGGAGGAGGGGTCTGCTGTTGCTGTTGCTGTTGTTGCTGCTGCAGCTGTAGCTGTTGTCGGGGCTGCTGTTGTTGTTGCTGTTGTGGGGGAGCAGGCGGTAACCCACGATCCCTCCCGCTTTGAGGTTGAGCGGGAGATGCCCTGGGTCCTCGGCTGAGGCCGTCATGCCGATGCTTTACCCTCCTCTCTTCTTCCACCTGAGGATCCCGGTCTCGCACCTGACCCTGACCGGGAGCCCTCGAAGAATTGGCGGAACTGGTTCCTGCCGGAGTACCGCCGGTCGCCCCTCGGCCTCTCCCGGCTGCGAGGGATTGCCTCTGCCTAAGAAACCCCAAATTGATGCGTGGGGTGTTGGACATCGCTTCCTCGAGAGCGTCTTCGGCGTCCAAAGTTTGGAGAATTTGAAAATCCGGCCACAGGTCGCCTCCCGAAGTCCCCACCTCGGCGTCCGAAGGAGCAACGTCCTCTCTGGCCCCGACCTCAGCAACTCCTTCTACCTCTCCCTCTGAAGCCCGATCCGGGTCTTCCTCCAAGTTCTGCTCGACTTCTAACCTCGCCGCCTGATCAAAGAGCTCTGACCACTGTGAAGGCTCGAAAGGTTGAGGGAGCTGTGAGAACTTCTTATACCCGGGGGTATAGTGCAGCAAATTATGGGCAGCTCGGCCAAATCCGTCGGCGCCCGTGAAACTCCAAACCGTTATTAAATCGGCAAAATTGACCAGCGACCGAGGGGGTGGAGCTGTTTCCCGAGAAGGAATACCTGCACAACAAAAAAGATTGTCAAACATGAGAGGTCCCAAGAAACAAATAAAAAAGACCCAAAGAACCGACGTACTTGTCGTTCTCCATTCCCGAGGGCAAAATAGGTCATTGTACTCGGGACCGACACCCCTCTCCCAACATCCCTTGAAGATCAAGATGTCGTCCTTGTACCCCTTGTCCGAGTCAGGAAGATGGGTTACAAGGTACATAGAGGGGTCCCTGGCTTTGAGGTAGAAATGTTGGTGGGGCATGACTCTTAGGAGGGAGTAACAGAAAAGGAGATCGTTGAGCCCAATATTCACCCCGAGGCGCCTATTGAGCTCTAGGACCCCCATAATTATCCGAAAGACGTTGAGGCAACATTGCCCGGGGAAGAGACGGAAGCGAAACAGGAACTGAAGAAGCAGGGGGGGTAAAGGAAACCTAATGCCACCCTCTATGATGGCCTTGGTATAAAAAGGCATGGCATCCGCGGCCCCGAAGGTAGGAGAGTTCAACAAAGGGTTAAAACCCACTACGTCCACGCTCGGGGGGATGCCATACTTCGCCCTGAACCTATCAATCTGTGCCTCGCCTGTCACCTTGTATTTCCCTGACCCCGAGGGACCAGCCGATGGATTCTCGGGAACAGGGCGACGACGAGGCATCTCTAAAAGAAGGGGAAGGAAAAGATGTTCTCACTTGAAAACCTGAGGAAGTTCCCCGAGGGTTTAAATCAAGACGTACCGACCGGATGACACCACCGTTCAAGTCGGAAAAACAAGAAGGCCAGGAGGACGATAAAGAAGAAGGTTGTGAAACTCACCAGAAGACGTCGGAAACGGAGTTTTTCAGGAAAAACTTTGAAAACGACTCGCACCGGAAGGACCAGGAGTCAACAATGGGTTTACTGACTGTGATTTTAAAGAGAAGATACTGTCGAAGATGGCTGAGGAAACAGAAACTCCGGCGAAGCAGATCAGAAAAGGCGTATTCTGGGTCAGAGATCGGAGTGGCAAAACAATGGAAACCGGAGAAGAACCCCCTTTATATAGGGGGGAAACTGTCATCATTGGGCGGGAGAACCAAAACGGCGCATTTAATGCGCACGACATCCCAAGACGGGGAAAGCTGCTCGAGGCCATAATGAAGGACGGATGGCAGTTGGAAAACCCTTCGTCTCCTGACAACGCGTGTCCTCGGCGTCAGAAGATCGAAGGCTGGGGGGCAGTTGATGGGACTCTTCTGAAAAAGCCTATGATGAAGACACGCGTCCTCGGGGGGGTTCTAGGACAATGTTGCTCGGGTTCAAGCACCATCGGTAAAAGCGTCCTCTCCCCCGAGGTACCTCTCATACAGGATCACATATTCGGTACATTATACAATGACATGTGTCCTCGGTCACCATGTACCTCGGGAACACACCACCCCTTGGTCCCCCGAGGTGAGCCTTTCCTCGGCGCCGAGGGTCACTCCATCCTGGACGCTTCCTCTACTCCCGGATAAAGTTACTGACGTACGGGACATCAGCCTATGCCAGTCTAGACTATTCATCATGACCTCGTCTTACACAAGTAATGTCAGAACATGCTGGAACACAGAAGTCATAGCCAATACGTGACGGACGCGTGGCATATGATATCACATCAAAAACAGGCAAACCGCACGCTATTGCTGACATGCGCTTTGGGAAGCAAACAATTAATTGCACCCTTCTGTTGACGAGACCGCATTCAATGCGGTAAGGTTCGGATATGAAAGGCAATAAATGCTCCTATTACGGAGCATTTATTACATCCTTCCCGAAAGGAGCATATTGTACCGTCGGCGTCCCGACGACTCAACATTGATTGCTCGGGATCCCGAGCAGTCAATTAGAGAAGACATTCCTCGTCAAATCAATACACACGCTGCCAGTGCCTGATGATCACCTACTGACCACACTGACAGCAATCATGAGCTTCTAAGGTATAAATACCCCTCCCAAAAAGGCAAACGGGTATGCAATCACAAACTCTCTACTACGAAATATCCTTCTCAGTGTTTTCTCCTTCCTCTCTCTCATTCAAAGACTGACTAGACCGTCGGAGGGGATACGCCGGAAAACACTCCGGCGCCCTTCTAACTTGTTCTCTTTTGTCCCAGGAAATACCTTTCGCACGTACAGGATCGTTCCTCCTTTCCCAGGATCGTAAGCTGTTTCGAGCAGTGTGTTTGGCCACTCAATCGGCTCACCCAAAGTTCACCGGGGGAGAGATCTGTTCCCAATATTTTATATATCGTGCAGGATCAAGCCCGCACAACAACCATCTTCATCTTAGTCTTTATTAGCAAATAGCAAGAATGGCAATGGCAATGGCCAGACAGTATTTATTAGCTTACGTAATGTATACCCAAAAAAGAGGGCACATCAAAAAAGAAACGAGAGAGAGAGAGAGAGAGAAATCTAACAGAAATTTATGTAGAGGGTATGATGTTCCACGTATGTCCTTTTGTTCCAAAACAAAGAATACAAAGAAATTTAAAAAATTAATGCTGCCGAGCATCAACATGAATAGAAATTTCTAGTAGAAATTTCAGTTTGCAAAAACTTCTTTCCAACCAAATGGTCTTACTCGTATCATAGATAAAAAAATAATAATAATAATACCCGATGCATAAAGCTACATTTACAGTAGAACATGAGAAAGATAAATAATAAGCAATTTTAGAGAGATTTAATGTAAGCTAAACTTCAAGTAGGCTCTCAGTTTGGCTAATTTAAGCTCTTTTATATCACAAAATCATTTTATTCTTAGAAACTAATTTTTTAAATGAGTCAAATTTGATCAATGTTTGACTCAATTCGAGTAGGCTTGAGTTTCATTTCTATAATTTGATGGAATTTTATTGCCAACACACCTACTCTATTGATTAATAACTCCAAAATCATTCCAAAACTGTTTCAAATCATATATGTCTCACTCCCTTGCTTCTCTGATAAATTTTTCAAAAATTTAAACTATTTTATTTTACAATTGATTATACAGAATCCGAGATATTTTGGTTTAAGCATTGATTGTTCTATGGGATATTAATGAGTTCTAGAGTATAGTTTTCAAACATTTATGCTGAGAACCGATGGTTCTCATACTTATTCAGTCCTGGGGGATGTGGGGAGTGCAGCACCTAACGGCTGGACCTTTGAAGTCAATGATTTTTAGAAGTAGGTAGAGTCTAATTTTATCATACTATTACCGTTGTATTGAATATTTACTCAAAGTCAAATATTTTGGACTTAAATCACCTCGAGTACCTGCTAAAAGTTATCCTCCCTACTGTCCAAAACTGAACCGCACCCCTTGTGAATGAGTTCTCTGGAGTTGAGCACTTTAAGCTAGAGGTAGAAACCAAAAAGTGAAAGCATAGAACGACCATAGCATAAACCAAATTTATTTCTTATCAAGTGAAAAACACTCCAAAGAATTTACATATTGCCCATTGAGACTTCAGAAATTCTCACCCAAAGAGAGCCCACTACTTCGTATGCAAAATGCAAGTACTTATTTTGCAGAGGGGACCAATAAAATGGAGTATCCACTAGACAAGTAATAGTCGAAAGAACCATTACAGAAAAGCAGGTTAGGTTTCATGATTCTATTTGTTGACTGTAAAGTTTGAGCTCAAGGAATTACTCTCTTCGTTTTAATCAAGTTCCAGCACAACTTTACCGGGAATGCGCCTCTTATCTTTGGCCTCATGGGCTTCTTTCACTTGCATAATCGGAAATGTTTTTTCCACAGGTATTTTCAACTTCCCTACCTCAGATAGCCTGCGGATCTCATCTAGACCTTCAGCATCAGCCCTCATATATGTCCACCAGTATTCTGCACCATTGCAATCATCACAAGAAACTGGTCAAATGACAAAGGAAAGCATCATCTAAAAGAGATGTTAGGTAACAGAACGAAATGGTAGCTTCCATCTCATCCACCATGGCACTTCACTGCATAAGAAAATACCTTCCATATACTGAACAAAATAACATGGGGTCAATAAAACACCTGAAGTCATTTCATGAAACTGCCAAACTGATTCCATACACAATTAGAAATTTTGAATTTTATCTACAGCCTGGTCACTAGGTTATATACTATCTGTGTAATAGCAACAGGGTAACACTCGGACATTTTTTTTTAATTTTACATAGAGCCCGGTAGGTAGGTTATCTACTATCCGTCAAATAGCAAGAGTGCAACACCCTAATATTTTAGAATTTTATAGAGAGAATTGAATTATTCCTACTTGATCCTATTTTTCTTCTGGTCCTTGGTTATCACGTATTTAGTTATTATTTAGGTTCATAAAAAGATCACCCCATAGAAAAATCAAAATTCATTTATTTGAGATGGAAATATATATGAAAATACAACATTTTGTTTAACTTGAGATAAACATTCATTTCACATCTAATTTCTGACAAACAACCTCCTCCAGATATACTTCCAAGATTTGTCTACATACCTATTCCGTGAGAATATCGATATTGGATTTGTTTCTTCAGTAAAATGGCTGTGGCTGTAGGAATCCCAACAGCTAATCCATACATATCACTCAATGATGCAGCCTCCCCCTAGAGCAAAACACCACCAAAATTTTTATATCTTTGTGCAGGAATGCAAAGAACTATTTGACCATTCCATGTTTGTTCCAAAATACAAAAATGCTTTCATCTATTACCTGTAATGTCATGTAGTGTCCACCTCTTTTTAAAAGATTGATGCTTATTCTTTCAGTGTCCCGTGAACCAATTGTGTCCAAAACAGCATCAAAATGTCGTTTAATCGTGAGTTCAAGATCCTGCATATTGAACAAACATCTGAGCCAAAAACAAGAGGGAGAAAGTGAAAGAAAGAAGGATACACACAATCCCCCATTCCAATGGAATATTCAGTCAAATCTCAAAAAGCTGACAGCCTGAAACGAAAACATGCTCATAACTCATTAAGTCATCACCTCGGAAGTATAATCGACAGCCTGTTCAGCACCAGCTGCCAACAGTCGATCTATGCTTTCAGCTCCACATGTAGTTGAAACATGACAACCTGCAGCCACTGACAGCTGAATTGCAGAAAAACCTACGGCTCCTCCTCCACCTACCACCAAAACCCTTTGTCTGTGGAGATTTGGTTGAAAATGCAAACAAGTGAGTTTGGAGATTTGGTTGAAAATAAAAGCCACGCACAATTACTTACAAGCATCAGTTGAATCATATTTCAGTTTTCAGTTTTCTCTAGGCCATATCTTATTATTTTGTTTTGGGTACCTCAAAAACAAAACTAATACCAAGCTATGAGTTCCAAGTGAAAAAACACCTTGTATGATCCCTTTAAAACTAAATAGTCATGCTTTTCCACAAGCAGGGAAAACGGAAGGTGGGATTAAAATGAAAACTGCGTCAATTGGTAAAAGAAACTGGAGAACTATCAATCTATCATGATTGATTCAGTGGGTTCTTCTTTCCTCCATGCAGTATGGTTTTCAAATGGACAGTTCTTTACCATCACAATATACATTATTAACATAGACCAAAACAGTAAATGTTCCCATTGATTAGGTCCTTCCACCCTTAAAAGAGATCAGAATAAGTACTGCTGTGTTACCCAAAGAAGCTTAAATGTTTAATTAGCTACATTGTGTATCATTCTTATACTTTCAAATCAATTGATCATTTTATGATGCTACTTGATTGAAGTCAGTGAATCCTACATAGGTTATGCCCTAGTGCTTCCAAACTCTCCGACGAACGAAGTGGAAATATGGCATCCGATCAATCCAAAAGATGTCTGTCAAGCAACTAAAATACAGATGGAACTTGCAATATCAAATTTACAGAATGAGTGTATATGTGCATGTACATTAATGAAATTCCCTCCTGAACCGGACGTTGACATATGGGCATCACAAGACAAAACACAAGCTTACCCCTTGGTTATCCTGGCGGTACTTTTTAAAGCACGCCATGCAGTCAGGGCAGCAAAAGGAATGACACTTGCTTCCTGCAAGATCACAGACATAGTCAATATTCTCTACTCACAGATTATCTTTCAAAAAAGACTTAAATAGCAGGAAGAACATCTCAGTTATGCAATCAATTATATGGACCTCAGGAAATATACAGAGAACGCGAGCAGCTTTCAATACATATCACGGGAAAAACAAAATATGAATGTTCTACATGATAAAATAATGTCCACTCTCAATACCGATTATTTTTAGATAAAACACATTTTGTGTGTTTGCTGAGGAGACCAATCAAGCATTTTATAAAAGGGAAGGGAACTTCTCATCGGAGGAGACAGGAGGAATGTAAATAATTCACTAGAAAACATACTTATAATAGAAGGCTACCATGAGAAAACTAAAAATAATGTATCTGCCAATAGCAAACACTCTTAAGACTAACCACGTGTGTAATTGATGCTGGTTTCAGAGCAAGTTCATCTTCAGCGAGAATAGCATAGTCAGAATAGGTACCCCTTACAGCAGTTGGATGCAGTGCACCAAACACTTCCTGCCCAATACTGAGTGACCGGACAGAGTTTCCAATGGCTGCGACTTCACCACTAACATCACGGCCCAAAATAAGGGGCAAAAGTGATTCAAATAAGGATCGACCATAGCCTGATCGCATCTGAAACATATTAAAAATTGAGATGCTGAATAAGTTCTGATTCAGATGCATGAATTTAAAGTCAATATGAAGTATGCACAAAAAAATATAAAATCTTATTATGAGAAATTAACACAAGTTTCTATGGAGGCTACACAACATTCTTTTACTTTGAGGTTCTGCTTAGTAGACACCATTTTCATGATGATTTTCCCCACCACCCCAATGAATAAACTTTCAGTACAATAGCAACTTATCTAACCGTCATCATTCACTCTGTTGAAAAGGCTTAACACTTGACTTCCAGTTATAATCTAAGGTTTTATAAAAAGGCCTATCCAACCTAAAGGAGGTGAATCAAGTAAATTCAGTTTGTCCTAAGAATCCAACATTTCAGTTACAGAAGCACCTTTATCCAACTTATATCATAGTCTAGTGACTTCCCATTAACTCAAAATAAAACCTTTACTTTAGAAACACATTACTGCTATCAACTTCATACTTTTACATCACATACGCCACAGTCACTTCAGTTGCAGAAACACACAAACGTTCTTCATGTGTTCAGTTCTTGAAATGAATTTGGTCCCCCTCTACATGGGCAAGTCGATTATATCCAAATTTCAAGTCAAACTAGCTGCATGAGTGAATTAAGGTGAAACGATATAGCATATATGAATTTCAACATATTCATATAAGATTGCAAACCTCATGCTTGGTCATAAAGAAAATTTATTTTCTGATTTTAAAAAGAAAAAAGGAAACTAAATTCTGGAAGATGAGTTACTTTTTGACAAGGGAAGCAAAATAACAAAACTCACACCCAGCGGCGTCTCAGTTAGCTGCGGTGCCTGGTCGAGATGTGCAATCTATCCCGTAATTAAGCAAGAACTTCACTTTGTCTCTCAACTGTTTTGGTATGGGAGAAGTTACGGTTTGGTTTAACATTAAGCTGCCACTCAGACGCAAAACTAATGAGAGGCAACTCTAAAGGGAAAAAAAAAGCGTAATTATTGAATTTCCTTGATTTATTTAGCTTGCCCAATTATATTCGTTCAGTCCTATAAGTTATTCTTGAGCTTTCCCTATGTAACAAGCAAAAGTGGAGAACAAAAGCAAAAACATGCATTAAGAAACAAGTTACACCAGCAGATTCCTTCATTCGCATGATTAAAAAAAGCAAAAACAAAATAATCCTAATCAATTGAGAAAGCCTGAAGAAAAAATAAATAAAAAGCAAATACCATGCGACGGTTCAGTTGAGGACATTTAGTTGAGTTCTTCAATCGTAATGAGACATTTACTCTAATTTTCCCATGCTCAGCCATTAAACAAAGAAAGAAATGTACTAAACCAACATTAAAAACAGAATTAGAAATTTCCCGCTTAGATTAGTTCAGTATGCTGAGCCGAGTTCTTCAGTTTCTCATAACTACTCTAGCAGTTTTCTCCTACACTTTTGCTCAGCAACCAAATAACTCAAAATCGAAACAAAACCGATAATTACAGAATAGCCAAAGAACTCACTCTGCAATCAAGCGGATTAATGGAGACGGCACGAGCGCGAACAAGCACCTCATTAGGCTTGAGATCAGGAACATTGACATTGTCCCTGAGCTGAAGGACCTCGGGCCCACCGAATCGCGGCAAAAGCACGGCTCTGCAACTGGTAACAATACACCTAAACCCTAACTTCCTAGATGACGAACAACAAGGCAACGACTCAGAATCAACAGCGAACAATTTCAAACCATTCAATCTCAATAAAAACCGCATCGTCTGTGCTGGCAAAAGGGTATAAAATCAGAAATTTCCAAGTCTTCGAAATCAGATGCTTCAATGCATAACAAGAATTAGATTCCAAGAAGAAATTGCGAGCATTTGTCTAATGCAATAGTAACATGTGTGTGTGTGTGTGTGTATGTGAGAGAAAGAGAGAGAGTGAACGTGTATGTGCGACTATCCGCACAAGTAGAGAGTCGTGGAGGCCTCTGAAGCCTAAATCATTAACAGCTTCGGTGAAAGAATGCTTCTCTCTGCATTTGTGCTTGGGCTTTTCAGGCCTGTGGAGAAAATATTTACATTATTCAATGTTAACGCTGTCACCTCATCACCATTGTTAGATAGTGTTATCATTTTTATATAAGAAAAAATAAATTTTACAAAATTTAATGGGTGAAGTTATTTTCAATTAAAAATATTCATTCTTATCTCATTTAATATCTTATTATCAAATTATTAAATCAACTTTTTATATACCCATCTTATAAATACCCCTTTAATAAGTAATTAAAAAAAATAAGAAAGAGAAATTTATCAAAATCTAAAACAAAATCAAGAAAAAATATATCGACAAAAAAATAAAAAATGAAACAAGATTTCTAATTTATAAAGTCTAATTCACAAATGACACAAGCTTGCCAAAAATGAAATAAATTTTCTATTATAAATAGCATTTATTATCACTTTTTTAAAACAATTTGAATGTAAGTATATATATACACACACACAAACCATAAATTAAATTATTAAACTTGATAGAGTTACCAAAATATAATAACAATAATGGAAATCCACACAACACGTATAAAATCAAATACAGAATTGAATCAAGAAGTAATATATATATAATAAAGTAATTTACAATTCAAATTTCAAAAGATAAACAAAATAATTTTTATTTTTTGCGGTTGAAATCGCTTTAAATTTTACTTTAAAATTAATCTAATGGCTAATATTAACATCTTAAATTTAATAGAAAAAATAGGCCCTTAAGGGCGTGTTTGGAGTAACTTTTTAAAAATACTTTTAAAAATTATTTCTCATAAGTATTTTAAAAAAAATAGTGTTTGAAACCGTCACATCACCACAATCACCGTCGCCGCCGCAACGGCCGTTGCCGTCACCACTGCCACCCACCACTTCTCACCCCCACTACGACCGATGTTTAAATTCATTTATCTCTCCTCTATGTTTGTAATTTAATTTTGGATATGAATACAAACATGTTTATTGTTTATCATTTTTTATTACTCTGTGCCTTTATGGACAGGCAATAACTAGTTAACTTATATCTTATTAGATAAATCTATATTGAAAAAGTATTTTCGTGAGTGTATGACATTGAGTAATGAATAAAATCCTAATTAAAAATGTGTATATAGCATGTAATAGGCTTAGTTATTAATGAGGTGAATATAGAATAACTAACTTAGTAGTTTAAAAATAAAAAATTAAATAGAGTGATAATAAATATTTATGTAGTGAGAATAACCCCACACAATTTTAATAATCAACCTTCTATGTCATTCGATAGTCCCCTAGTATCACCGTTGACGTTGCATGAAATATTACTCCGTGTTGTGACCGTGCACAATGAGGGCTCAATATAAAAATTTTAATATTTGAGGATACAAAATAAAAATTCGAGGTACAAAAGTGTACTTTACCCTTAATCCAAATCTTCCTTGTCGACTCGAGTTATATACTGCAAAGAAAACACAGAAATAATCCCGACTGTTTTCCCATGGCAGAACTTAGATTAACGATTTTTCCATTTCTAAATTTTCCACCCGTAAAATGGAGAATAAGACCAGACTCTACCGACCAGAGAATTTCATTCATCTGATAAAGGAAAAGGAGAAAAATCTTATAATTACAGCTGACATACAGTTCATAAGGAGCATCTCTAAGATCTCAAGACTACCCCAATCATCCTTGGGGCACATTTTCACCAGAGCCACCAGCACTGATGGTTGCAGTAATTCCACTCATCGAAGCAATGTTATCCCGCGAGGCATTTGAATTTTCAACATTACTGGCAGTGCCACTCATCACGGCAATGTTATCGGGCGTATTTGTAGCAGTGCCACTTGTCGCAGGCATAATATCCGGTGCAACATTTGAATTACCTACATTACTTGTAATGTCACCGGTAATAGTATTTGTAGCAGTGGCACTCGTCGCAGGCATAATACCCTGTGCAACATTTGAATTTCCTACACTACTGGTAATGTCACCGGTAATGGTATTTGTAGCAGTGCCGCTCGTCGCAGGCGCAATATCCAGTGCAACATTTGAATTTCCTCCATTAGTAGCACCGATGGTGTCGGTGATTTTTGGTTGCAGAACTTTAGTTTCAGTGGCTGCAGGCACATTAGTATGAGCCGCAGGGGGCACCACAGTTGCAGCGTCTGCAGATTCCTCTACTTTATGATGCTTTTGCGCTGCTTCAGCTGGAGGATAGACCCTCAAAGTGCTGCCTGTATGGGTGGCACCAGTTTTCAGTTGGTTCATGGTGCCAGACTCCTTTACAGCATGAAGTTGCTGCAACCGGTAATCAGTTTCTGGTCGACGGCAAACTTTTCTCAGTGGCACAATTTCCTGCGAAAATATTAAGAGATAAATCAACATTATCCAACATGAAGTGCATCCGTCAAACCACAAGCAATTTGAATGGTGCGCATGGTTTAAGATAGACACGAATGTGATAATGCCCTTCAATGCAGTTTTATCATATTTGATTGAAAGTGGAAACCAGTTATATTGTCTTAGCTTGAGAAACTATGCTATTAGAACTTCTAAATGTTTATTTAAAAAAAAAACAGAGCCTCCAAAATATTGAGACAGAAGACATCTAGATTTAAAACTGACATAACTAATGCAATCCTATGATAATGTATGACACTTTGTGCACTAAACATCCTCGAGGCATTCACAATTTCTATTTAAGTAACTCTGTGACACGAAACTTCTGTCCTGTTTAACTCGTCAAAAGGGATGCTTTGTCAGCCTGCATGAAAGCAGCTAAACAATCCACCAGAAGCCAAAGCGGCCTATTTAGCGCAGCTAAGCTAATATGCGCCAGAGAAAGCCAGGTTGGGGGGCAGTACAGAAGATTGGTCCGCTCTGCAAAGCTGAGCTTTTCGGTTCACCTACCAAAAAAATAAAGGAAAAAGAAAGGGGAGCTGCAACATCTTTGAACAAATAATCTCAACCAAAATTATGTCTTGTTATAAGCTTATCAAGAAGATCTTATCTAGAAGATAATAGTCCTAAACATAATTATCAGGTTGAAATTTTCCTGAAATCATCTACCAATCTAAAGATAACCATGTGTCACTGCAGTCATTCATGTGTGAAGCCACAATCAGACGAATCTTTTCTCTGGAAAATGATCTCCTATGAGGCAAATGGTGTCAATATTGATCTATTTGTCTCCACAAGAAATTTTGACAGCGTTGTACTATATTCCCAATTTTCATTTCTCCTGTTATGATTTATTGGCAAGCAACCAAAGTATAAAAGCATGCAAAATCTAAAAGGCGTAGTCCCCAAAAAAAAAAAGAAAAAAAGAAAAGAAAATGCCCCTGTAAAAATTTTACCCCTTATATCAGTAAGAATATACCCTATCCAAAATACACTAGCATATAAAAGACACTAACCAATTACCCACGAAAAACAACAAAATAGTTTTATAAGAAAAAATTACAAAAGAAATGAAGATCTAGGCAGTAGTATATACCTCAGACTGATCATGATCGTAACGCACCAGAAACCTACAACGGCAACCTCTTACATCATGCCTTCTTCTTTGTGCGTCGAGGACATGGGCATCAAAATAAAGAGCCTGCTCTTTGCCTTCCTGAAAATATTTTAAGATGTGATTATTGAAGATCTAACCAAAGCTTACATTCATTTTTTTCTCCTTTTTTTTTCTCGAATTGATAACATACAAAATTTCTGTGAATCATAAAGAGAAACTTGCACCTGAAAACAGAGTATAAGATCTCCTGGGAGAACCGCAACACATTCTGATGATTCACATGGCAGAGAGCGTTGCCTGACATGCTTGCGAACGTTGACCCATTCATCCTCCTCAGATCCAAAACCAGCAAACCGAACCAGAACTTCCTGAAAAGATCAGTAGCTTTTTATATATAACATGGAAAATAAGACATGAAGTATGTCAATACCATTTGGACCCAAAGAAACAAGACTAAACCATAAAGGCACCAGGGTTTCTAAGTTCCAGCATATCCCCCAATGACAATTTAGCATAGCTTCGTGGCAGAATGCAGATATGGTCCAAGATAGTGTAATTAGCAGATGGTGTGAGCATAATTTATAGCATTACAAGGGAAATGAGAAACAGATATACAAGTGGGTACCCTAAGTTCCCAACTAAAGAGGTTTTTGGTCCATCCATTAGATGTTTTAACCACAGATAATGTGTGGTACCCACATGATAGTTCAATGCAAGGGTCTAGTGCAAGAATGCATTTGAATGATGAGCAAAACAGCATGTTAACAACATTTCTAAAAGGATTTGAACAATTCGTTTTACGAAGTTAAATCAACATGAGAAGGGTATATTAGCTTACCGGATCACCTGTCTCAAGATATCTATGAGACAGGAACAATGCAACATCGTACCTGAGAAAGGGAATAACAACGAATGACTATCACTCATCCACTTGTAAATTGACTGAAGGAAATAGACAAACATCAAATAAATTAGCATCCAATAGTCATTAACTGAATGCCTTGAAATACTAACCATGCACCATCCCTTGCAGATTTTGCCTCAAACTCCATCTGAGAATTTTCAGGAACATTGCTGCCTCCACTTTTAGCTGGTATATCATAACGGAACAATTAATCGAAGAATGATAATAAATGCATATGATCAAACATAACCAGCAAATGATTTAGAAAGAGCGGGGAAGAGAAAAAGAAACCCTGGTTTGAAGGTGAAATTAAGACTGGTAAAGTTGTAAAATTTGAACAGAAAAAAGCTCTGGGTAGAGACTGCTACAATTTATGAGTGAGATAGAACATAGTTTCTAAATTTAAGGTATAGCAATAATTCTAAAATTTCTTACAAGTGGTGACATGAGACTACTAAGAGAACCTAGTTATGAGTAAAAAAATGCTCTGTTCAAGCTTTTGGATGGCTACAATAGTTACAAGCTTAGCTAGCGCAACGCCTATAGTAGCCTACTCATATTTAGGGTTTCAAGCAATCATAGAACCCCAGATCGTTATCCGGCAGCTTAGACATGCTAGTTTAGGCATCCCAATAAAAATGGATTCTCCTATCGTTTTTATCAAAAATAGAGTTGACTTGTAGCAGCATTAGTAGTGGTACACATATGACTGAAAATAAAGCTAGACAAATATTGGTAAGTAGTAACCACCACATAAATGTGCCAAAAAATCAAATGCGCAAGTGGTTTTGATTTTTGAAAATTAAGAACATAATTTAAAGTTAATTCTACCTGAAGGAGCAGCCAGAGGTTGAGGGGTCTGAGGCACACTTCTCACAGTCGCTGAAACAATTTACGATGCCAATTAGATCAAAAATAACTCTTGACAGTTATTGGTGGCCACAAAATAACCATTCTCAAAGTTAAGTACTGGGAAAATAGTGTTAGAACTTTAAAAATTAACACAAGCAAATTCTACCTGAAGCAGCAGGTACGAGTTGAGGGGCCTGAGGCATATTTCTTGCTGCAGCTGAATCATCTCGAGGCATAGGTGATACACTCAACTTCCCAGAAGACTTAGTTGCTTTTGCCCTAAGAGCATACCGCCTATTCTGGAACCAATTCCACACCTGAAACACCATATATAAATTAGGGGGGGAAAAGCTACAGATAGGTCATCATAATGCACTAATCAAAAGGTGACTCACTTGTTTCATTTGAACAGTAATTTTTCCAGACCGCTCAGCTGAAACACTACACCCAGAAACAACCACATCACAATTTGACCTCTGATGCTGACAAGATGAACAAAAGGTTCGCATCACATAAATTTTGCAGATACAAAGATTAAATACATACCTGAATTTCTCAGCCAAACCATCAAGAATTTCGCGAGCTGGCATCGCCAGATTGTGCGCTTGTAGGATGGAGTCCATCTCCGCGACCTTCAAAAGAAGTTGAGCTTTATGAAGTCAATCTTTTAAACTTCTGTTTTGCATCAATGTTGCTCAGCAGGGGTCTCCTCCATTATTAATTCATTTTATTGTCACTACAAAGCTTGGTTTTATATAATTTTACAGGAGATAGATGTAGGATCAAATGTTAGTTCATAATTTAAATTTATGTTTGTGAGGCTGACATTTATTCTATTGCTTATGTTCAATATGCTTAAGAAAAATATAGACTCCGCCCAATGACTGATCTTTTTGAAAATTCTTTTACTGCATCGCCATGCTAATAGTCGAAACAAAACGAACCCCAATAAGAAAAAGGCTTGGAACTATTGGAAGTTCCTATCAGCCCACTAATGTGAGAAAACAATATACAGAGGGAAATCTAGCTTTCTTTTCTAGGAACATTACATAGGGCATAAATATCGAACAGCAAAGAAAAGAAATCCATAGGGCCGTGAATTGTAAAAACAGGGAGAGAGAAAAAAAAATTGCAATCGAAACATGAGAAATTAATTGCTTATAATAGATGTAATTCCAAAATTTATGGAGGAAATAACATCAACAAACACAGGCACTGATGGTTAATCAATCGGCGTTCTACAGAGAAAAGGAAAAGAAAAAATTAATTCACAAAGATAAGATTGAGAAGAGGGGTGAAACCTCGGTAGAGTTAAAGCGGAAGGATGGGGCTCCGTTACTCGGTGGTCTCCCCATCGGCCACTGTCTTCTTCAACCAGTGTATTCGATCCACTCCAACTATCCGAGAAAAAACATTCAAATCTGCCCAAGCAAAGGGGAAGAGGAGAGAGAGAGGGGGTTGTAGGTGGGCTTGGGCCGCTTGGCTCTTCCTTCAAAACTAGGGCTGTATTGGTTGTCTCAAATTAAATGGTTCACAAATTGTACTAGGATTAGTATTGTGGTGGGACTCCTCATATACTTACAAATTTTATATAATAGTAACATGTAATTTGATTCTGATCATACTTGAATTATAATTTCAATGTATTAAGTAAATGATATGATTGATCAACTTAATAAAAATCCAACTTATTTAGATTAATTTCATATTCAATATGTCGTGTCAATTTTACTGTTTAGACTGATTGATCATATTAAAAATTGTTAACTTTATTTATAAAAATCTCTAGAAAATTTTTTTTTTGAACATTTTTTAGTCATGTTCAATCCAATGTAATCCCTAGACCAAGGTTATTATCAATTAATAAATGTGGGATGAGTTGCGCTTTGAATTTGGAGGGAATATCAATTATCCATTCTAATCTTTTGTTTTCTCTTTTTTATTTAACCTTATGCCATAACCTAAAATCCCGAACAAAGCACCCCCCCGTCAGCCCACCCCTTTCCGCCGTTATCTCCACATAATCTCACCATCCAAAAAACTCGTTTGATAACATTTATGATTTTTGATTTTTTAAAAAACTAAAAACATAATTAAAAAACAAAAAACGTCTTTTTTTGTTTTTGAAAATTACCCCTCGTTTACAAAACTATGACAAACAAAAAATGATTATCAAACGAGGTTTTTTTTTAGTTTTCTCTAAATATCAAAATAAAAACAAAAAACGAAAAACATAAACGTTCCCAAACGGACCTAAACAAGTAAATTCTATTTAATTTCATAACCAAGTATCTCACCCCGACCCCGGCCAACGGCCCAGACCTCAAACAACACAAACCCCTACACTTGGGGGGATCCTGCCATGATACCTGCACTAACACAGCCTACCAAACACCACCAACCCATATTTTCAGTACCGTCAAATGTTACAACTTTACTAAGTAAACTAAATACATATATACACTAAATTGCAGTTAGTGTACACAACTCCAATAGAGCAAGATCTAAGAGAGGAAAGTGATACATAATCTAAGCCATTGTGGGAAAATTGATTCCCACATTTAAATTCAGGAGTAACAATTTACCACATCCATATTACGAAAAGAGAATTGATACATAAGATACTCTTTCAGATATACTTGGCACGAGTTTCAGCTTTCACAAACTTCAGATACAAAAAACACATTACAAGCATGAACAATCCCACACCTTTCCAATTCCTTGCAACTAGTCATTCCTAGCTGTCTTTCAATCTTAACACGAACTAAGCAGTTCTGTACCTCTGTTTGTAGTAGCATCCATGACATCAAAAGCTAAGATGATCAAATCTCCTTGCTCAAAGGATCAGTTGAATACATTTCATAAATCATCATCCCAACAAATATGCTCTCCATGTTTGCCTCAGCTTTAGTTCGAAGCGTCTGATCAGGATCCAACTTTTCCAGATTAGAAGGAAATATACATTTCCCATAAAAAAAAAAAAGATGACAACTAACATAGTAGATTTTTCACATATAATCGAGTAAAAATAGAAAGCTTTGTAAATGAAAGCAGGCACACTATATTAATGAATACACATTTACCAAACATTTATGGAACATATGTACATAGATCCATGTCTAGTATAGATATCAGATCAACTACCTCCTACTATTCATTATCTGACCTCCCCAATAGATGGCATGCCTATTAATAAATGAAAAACCATTTAAATTTCTAGTGCTTCCATGTCAAAACCACGAACTGCCCGAACATCTGACCTGCCCTCCTAAGCACCATCATCTACAAGGTTGTTGACCCGTTCACATTCATCAATCCATTCACTATATCTGTAGCCACACACCAAGGTCAGAAGAATAGAGGAACAGACAATGAATCAAAATGACAAATATTAACGCAACCAAGGTTCCCATAATTCCAACTTACATGTCTATGGGTTCGGTTAAAGCTGCAAACAAAAAGAGAGCAAGGTCAGTTTACCTAGGTTATTTCAAACAATTAACATACAACTCACAACAACATAAAGTACAGATGCCCAAAGGGTTGGTTCAGAGAATATCTGAATCCAATCCAATCTAGTTGTTTGATGGATTGTAAAAGTTCTCTGATTTATGTTCTCTTATACCTCTGTCCAATTTCATCCATCCATGAAGTCCGTCATTACCCATGTCATAGCATATTAAGGGACAAAGCAAAATTTATTAACAGCTTTTGTGAGCTCGTCACGACCTTGAATTTGATCCCACATGCCTAGACTGGGAGCATATTGACACAAAATGTGACTCTTCCCCAGAGCACCAAGTTAAAATATTATGCCATAGCATCAAATGCACCAAAGAATTTGTGACCTTGATAAGTTTGTCTATCATAGTTCTTCCAAAAGGACAAATAAGGAAGAAATTTTTTCCAAAAACAACTGCATTATAGTCTTCATTCATGCTTTTGATTTTTCTTTTGTTGGTGTAGGCAACCTTGATATTATTTTTGCCAATATGCGAGATTTAAATTTTTTCTCTCCAGTTAATTAAATTTCATCTCAGCAAAAGCCATGACAAAATCTAGAAAAAATTTTCTCCATTACACCCAACTGTAAATTGCATTCCTAATTCTCCTTGATTTGCCAAGGAGAGAGTATTGTCAAGACATAATTTCTGTGAATGTAAATGATTCATATCTTCTTAACACAGTATTTGAAATATTCAAGTACTATGGGCATTGGCAATCCTCAACTCTCATTGTTAAAAACCAGTAAGATTTTCATTCTTCTTATTTGCTGATCAGAAATTCAGAACTATATATTCCACTTTTAAGTTTAATTTCTTTCACTACGAATTGGGAAAAAACCCTGATCCCATGATGCCCCAAATCATATTTTAATACTTCCAAAGCATTCATAAGCAGCATTTAAATAAATGAACTAGAATGCACCTGTTACAGTTGTGCTAAAGCTCTCTTGGCATATCCTGCACACAGCCTCCCCAATCAAGTTCTTCATATCACTGAAATCAGAAAAGTTTGTGTTCATTACAGAAAAACAACTTAAACCCTACATACAAGCATCTTAAATTAAATACACTTCCACTGCATCGACCCATTTGATGAAATATTACAAATGTATAGATGAAGAGCAGAAATATGAGACAGTTTGAGATTTGAGAACTTCTCAGTTGCATTTATGCTACACTAAACAGTCCACAATATACCAATGAAGCCCAAAACTCAAAAGCTAGGATAGGCTTTTATAAACTTAGCCCCTCTATGGTCTGATTGGTGCAAGCCTGCAAGGATAGATGGGGTGAAAGAAAAAGGGGAAAAATAAAAGACAAGGGGGATTTCCATGGACGAAAGGGGAAGGGGAAGGTTTTCTATCCGAACCCCGCAACTCTTTTGCTTCCAAGAACCCTTTCTTCTAAAGATTTTACACTTTCAAATTGACAGGGAAAAATCATAAAGAAAGTATTTTTTTTTATAAGGTTACGCATAATAGCAAAATCAAGCAACATCGGGGAAATGGAATTTCCTTTCCCTACTGGAGGAGGGAAAGCCCTCTCTGTTCACAATATTACACAATAGAAAGACATACCTAATCTTCTAGCACAACCATTTTTACCCCTCCTCCTTTATGGTGTGCAACTAAATAAAAAGGAGAGAAAGGTACCTTCTTTTTTAATAGAATACTTCTTCCTTGTCTCCTAATTCTACCTTCATTTGCTTCCAATTTTTCATCCATTATTAGCACACTAACCATTTACAGATGGTTGTTCATAACATTTTTTCACATCCCTGACGTTAGACAAATATAGACTATCAAAATTACTGAAAGAAGAACCTAAATATAATACCTTAAGGCATACAACTACCTACAAATTTAAGCAGGAGATGGTTATGTACCAGCAGTAAGGAACTCCATATCCCAGCTAATGCCACCCTCTCTCCTAAGTGCATTAGTTAACCATGGACAAGTGAAAATCAAATGAAACACTTACATGTGACATTCCACACTGGTCCCATGGTTACAGAAAGGACAACTGAATAGTGTGTCAAGCTTGTCCATCCTCCTCTTTGGTGGTGGCTTCGTCCTGGACTTCCTCTTACCCATTTGTAGAATTAACTCTTTTCCTTCATTGTCATCACAATTCCACCAATTAGTTCATCAATCAGATATCAAGGCATGCAAAGTTTCACACTACCAAAAGAATATGCAGATAAATAAAATCTATAACTAAATACTAAAAGCAAACAAATTAAAAAAAACAATTTGATCTACAAAGCAGTATTATGTACTCTCTTTCTAACTATGAGCTTCCTTAGAATTTAATTGTACAAAACTAGCTCATACAAATATCAAATACTGAACATTAAACCATAGAATCTACAACAACCATCAACCTACAAAATTTCCAGTAACAGTCAAGGAAAAATTGAAACACTGCAGTTGTGTTTCCATGACAAATTGCTACAAATAAGTCTATACTCAAACCTAAATACTGCACAGCCAGCAGCAGACCCCGGAGAAGAAACCCTAATTGTGATACCAAACAGTATGCTAACATAAAACTAACCTAAAATAGAAATCAAAACACTTTCATATGTGTATTTCATATGCGTTGTGTGTGTATATTATATGTGTTGGTTTTGCACAGAAAATTAACACAAATAATACTTGTTGGAAAATAGGAATTCAAAGATAGGAAAACATTGATTTACTAACAAACTCTCATTCATGATAACTAGGGAGTTTGGGTCAAATTCCAACAATATGCGTGTCTATAACATATATGTGTTGTGTGAGTATATCATATATATATGTGTGTGTGAGTATATGAATCATGAAAATTAAACCATGAAAAAAAGAGGAAATTAAACAATGAAAAAAAGAGGATACTGCACCTTTAGTATCTGATATATAATCAACGAACAATGATGAATTCATAAAGGCAAAGAAACTACTTCGAGTAAGGACCAGGACATTGGCGTACCTGAGAATTCTCTGTTCGCAACTGGAAGGGGTTTCGCTCCAATAAAAGATAAAAGACGAAGGCAGTGTGAATAAACGGGCTGGGGGGTACGATATTTAGAATATTTATAAGCGTTTTTGGCCTTTATCGGAAAGGGAAAATTATATTTTATCCCTCTAATTATGTCTTGAGACATTTGTCCCCGTTGGAAAATAAATATTATATTTTGACCCCTTTAACTATAGTTTCGATCACAATGCTTGGGTACTGGATTTCTTATATTGCTCCTCAAGTAGATGAGTTGATTTCATACTTCCACAAAGCCAAACATCTAATATATTTTGGACGAAGATGTACAAACATCCCAAAAAAAATATTTGTAATTGGGGTATTTTTAAAATTAATAATCATAATTAAAGGTAAAATGTGAGAATCATGATAATTGAGTAGACAGTGTAAAAATAATATCTGTAATTGGAAATATAGTGAGAGAAAAGTAATAATCCAATGGGCAGTATGATACATAAAAAATAATTAAGATGGTCAAAATGTAATTTATGTATCCAAAGTTTCTGGATTGCCTTTCCAATTTGGTTTCTAAAGTTGATACAAAGAGATGATTTTTTTTTTTTATAAGAAACCATTGGGATTAATATTAATCTCATAAATTGTTGCTCTGCTTAACAATTTGCTACTTTATTTTCAAATATTTATATTCATTTATTTAAAAATTGATGTAAAATATCAACAACTCTATGTATTTGATCAACAAGTCTCAATACTCAAAAAAATCGTTTGCTTATGTTGAAGATTGCCTCATTTTGATCTCTAATATTTCAATTGCGTCATTTTTGTCATTGAAGTATTAGAAATGTTTTTATATGATCCTTCAAACAGACAGCGTCCAGATTACTAATGATTTTTATCATAAACTTGTCACGTAATCCTTAAATATGAATAAAAAATAATTTTGATAGCTTTTAATTTAGTATAAATTTGAGTCTAAGGTTAGAGTAAATTTTTTATACTTTTTTACTCAAATTTAAATTTGAATCTAAATTTAAATCAGACTTAGAGATACTCTAAGATGAAGTTAGAATGTTAAAACTGTAATAAATTGAATAAGGGGAACAAAAGAATGTGTTCGTTGGTTTAGAGGCAAAATGAAGATAAGTAGAAGAAATAAATTTTCAACAAGATCAATTTGTGGGTGGTCATTGATTAATACATAACAACAATAAATTGTACCACCAAGCAGTTGGTCCAGTAGGTAAAAACTTAGATTTTCCTTAAGTTCGAGCCTCCACAGCTATAGCAACTTGATGAGACTAAACTTACTCCTTAACGTTCAAAGCAATGGTGAGACATTAGTTTTAACTTCGACATAGGTGTGGTGAGTTCTCCTACAAATAACAGTGTACTACTAAAAAATAATACTCCCAAATGAATATATCCATTTTAAGCACCGAAAAATAAAAACAATAAATTGTTTGTTGATCTGTCTGTAGGCCGACGAAGTTTCTACGTGATCTCCCCAATTGTTGTGTAAAGAATCATGCAATCTGCCCAAGGAAGCATAGCATTTTCTTTTTTATGGTAAGGACACTTAGCAACGAGATCCACCATGTCACCCAACAGTGCAATCAAAAGACTACGATATATATTATAGTCGGTAGGATGACCACCACAACAATGAGTTTGAACACAGTATATCATGGCCATGGGGCTAAAAGAGGCAAGTGGTGAACAACATTAACCCCCTTTTGAAAGGATTGATTCCCAAGCTCGAATCCACAATATATCTCTTTAATGCCGCAGATACCTACTTCCTGGTAACTGCCTCAATGTGGGCATTCCTCTCTATGGAAACAAAAAGTAAAACCACAAACAAGGTTAATATAAGTCATAGAACACACTATATGCCGTCGATGAAAACTTGAAAGTAAGTACCATAAATATATCGTATCTGCTCAGGTAGCACACAGCAAAACTGATACCAATAATGCATACAATACAGTTGCTTTTACATGAATGAGAAAATAAGAACCTTTAGTTTATGGTAGGAAAAAGTTTGGAAACAACGCAGGGCCATCTGTGACTTCAACTTGAGAGATCAGTCCTTCAAGAAGACGCCCCAATTGATGCCTCTTTCGGTGAAATAGAATTAGCACCAACAAAAAATTAGTAGCAGGATCACTAAATGGATTAATGACATGTTGCTCACTATTTTAATCTTCCTCCTGGTAAATTTCCTTCTTCTGTTTGATCCTATGGGAATTATTTCTGTATTTTCTCCAAGCAAGATATGAAGGGGCTATTTCGAAGGCGTCAATTTAGATGTGCAGTTGTTGCTAAGATGTGTTTGCAGCATGGTTTATATTTAAACCTTCTTCGGTTTCTTTTTCTGTTTGCGTTTCTTCTGCTTCTGCTTAAGCCTCACAAAATCTTTGATACTCCTCTCCCATTCTTTCCTGTTTTTCTGATAAAGCAGCATTGCTGCCCGGGCATCTTCTATCTGAGACAACAGAGACACTCGTAAGATGTCCTAACCACAAAGTGAACTTCAAAACGACCCCAAACATACAAAAACCAAAGAAAAAGGTACTCATTAAAAGAACAGACAGGATGAGGCAGACAAATAAAAGAGAAGAAAAGGAAGCAGCAGTTGCACCACAAACAAGCCCAACATTTTACTTCTTTAAGTAATTAGAGATCATATGAGTTGCTTTTTTAGTAAAAGAGATCATGAAAGTTCCCATGGCAGACAAGCATAGGAATCAACATCATCTCCTTTTAACTTTTTTTTTGGTAAGTATCTCCTCTAACTTAATTGTTGGGAAGGACGTAAGGCACAAACGTTTGGAGACCGAATATTAATATTCTTCTTCAGCAACAGACATCTTACTCTGTCAAGGTATAGAAAATCAAAGAAAAGGAGATTTTGACGTGCTTATTTCCGAAAACGTCATATCCCTAATACATGATGCAGAGGTTATATCAAAGATTGAAAGAAGAAAACTAATAATTTACACAAAATTATAAAAATATGAACACAATTTCAAAAGGGAAGGAACTAACAGGGCAGTGCTCCCCACTTTGAATTTTCGCACCAAGAATCTCAGCAGCTAGATGCCTAAGTGCCCTCCTGTGTCCTTCCCTGCTTAATCAACACACATGGTTACATGCCATATAAAAGCTCATATTGGACATAAATTGCAGCAAATAGTACAATTAAGCAGAGAGGGTAAAATAGTACTTTAGAAAGGGTTGATACTCTGAGGTATCTCGTATATCCTTCTTTGGATGACTTAATAGCAATGCCTGTACAGAAAAGTCAGTCAAATATTAAGATAACTACGTCAGATCACAATGTTGGGGAACTATATGCACCAACCTTAAGATCATTGCGTAAGGCATGACCAACGAGAATCTTTCCCTTGATCAATTCTGCCACTTTCTTCTGAACAATGCGGAAATCCTTTGCTGTAGATAACATCAAATGTATGTGTGAAGCACACTACAACTGCCAAGAGACTTCAAAAACATCCTTATATTTTTCAACAAATAATCACTAATAAATATTATGCAAGATGCCAATGAATTTATGATTTCTACAGCTAACATCTATCAAACCTGTCTGAGTAATAAATCACTTGGATTTGGATGAATTATTAATATTAACGTATGTATCAGCCATCATAACATATAAATATTCTTCTAACCAAGATTAATAATACTACGAATCATTGAGTCAAAAATACATCACTGTTGCAATTTACACCTGCCCAACAAATTAGTGACCAATAATCCCTTCATTTAATTCTGAAATCTCATTCATACGAAAGCCAAAAGGCACACTTCTAGTTCTGGGCATGTAAATTTTTACCTAAATTATGATAACGATCATATCCCAAGCTCATTAAGACAAAAGAATTAGCACTGTCGAGAGAGAGTGCCATACACCAAATACTGCCTTCCATGCAATAAAAGCTGTTTTTAAAAGTTGTTTACTTTAACTGCATTATCCAACTTTTTATGCATATAGCTGGTAAATGAGCATTGGTAGACTGGAGAAGGGAACTTCAAAGATTATAAACACACCTTCCATGCAATAAAAGCTGTTTTTAAAAGTTTACTTTAACAGCATTATCCAACTTTTTACTCATATACTGATGCTGTTAAATGAGCATTGGTAGGGCATCAGTAGATAACTGATATGCATAACCATGAAGAAAGGAAGGCCTAAAGAAATTCCAAAAGATTATGAAAAATCGAAATGTTAAGAAATGAATAGCAGAACTGGGATTGCTGATCTCGTGTGAAATGAATGCTAGGCAAGCATAATCATGAAGGAAGTAAAACCTACGAGAAGTTCTATGGAAGATTTATCAAAGATCACTTGTGGCATATGAAAAGCACATAAAGCTTGTAAATGCTTGTCAAATTGGAAGGTCGATTCAGAATGTCCAGAAATCATTAGCTGTCAATGGCAGATAAATGTTATGTTACCAGAGAGCACAGGAAACAATAGTCACTTGGGGAGCAGGGAAGCTATGGGAAGAAAAGGGTCAAAAAAAAAAATGCCATCCACTTTGTATGTTTGCTGAGCCGACTATCAGGCCTTTATAAAAAGGAAGGGAACTTCTCAACGAAGGAGGCGGGAAGCTAATACTTGTAAACTGCAAGCTTATCCATGACTTTTTTTTTATTGCAAATTCAAATTTGGAAATAACAGAAATATATTTATGTACAAACACACACACACACACATATATATATAACTACATTGGCCACTGGAATAAGAGAGGTCTAAATGCCAAAAATATGGCATGCAATAAAACGTCATTAATAAATACAATATAGCTTCTCTTAAGTAATAAACTGGGTTCATATTCACCATCTCATGTTGGCACAATCGCGTTATAGAAACAATGCTTGCATTCAAACATGAAATCAATAACTGATATTGAGTAATAATGAACTAAACAAACAAAATACATGATTAAATTTAACAAATAGTTTTGATATATATATTGGTCTTCGGTCGAACAATGCTTTTCACTACTTGATACAGATGAACCTTTTTTCTTTTCTTTCTTTCCTCTCTTTTTGTGTGTGTGTGTGTGTGGGAAGGCAATTTTTTTAATTCTGACACATAATATATAGAGAACCCAACCTTTCTTCAAGTCGCGAGGTCGAATTCCACTTATCTCTGTACGGAAGTCAACTATCCGCTCTATTGGGCGAACATGCTCATCACATATAACATTGCCCCATTTATTTACCTGCCATAAACTGAGTTGTATATAAAGAAGCCCCACCACTGATAACACAACACAACTAAAATTTGAGCTGTAAGTTCAATACAAGCTTGAAAAGCACCAAATATTAGTCGCTGCACAAAAAATAACATGCGACACTTCACAAGTGTGCGATGGACTGTCATCATCATAGAACTCGTTGTTCTAAGCCCTGCCATTAGACTTTCTTTGAATTTCAACTTCTCAACATTAATCTTTATGAAACTCCCTGATTGGCTAACCCTTCAAATAGGGGCAACCCTATTGCGTAGCTTGTGGAAAACTAGGGAAAATACTTCATACAAAACCGTCAAAATACAATCAAGGAACAATTTCTTTCCAATTGATTGCAAATATTCATTTTCATTATCCAACAACTAGCCAACCGTATCCATATGAAATAATCGGGGTCTGTTTCTCACCTTATGGAAGAGATGGTATATGGAAATGGCAGTGTTATAAAATCCGGCCCGACGGGTTAACCCGATGAACTGGTGCTAAACCGGGCTGGTTCATCTATTGGATCGTTTATGCACCAAAATCGGAATAAACCCGGCGACCCAGGAAAAAACGGGTAAAAATCATCAAACCGGACAAGCTCACTCAAACCGGCCGGTTTTTTTTTATTTAGTATAAAAGCTGAATTTTGGGGCCCTTTTGGGCATTTTTGCCTTGCTGCCCTAATCGTTTCCTTCACTGTTCCCCAACCAGTCCCCTTCTTTGTGAATAACCTCTCTCTCTCTGAGTCTCCTGAGTCTCTCTCTACCTCTGGTCTCTACAGTAGTGTGCACTGCTAGCACTAAGAATTGTTGGGTTGCATTTTTTTTTTTGTAGGTTGGAATTTGGAGGGGTTGATCTGATTTTGGTCTCGGTCTCTCTACTCTCTCTACTCTAACAGTAACACGTATATTTTGTGGGTTGCATTTATTTTTTGTGGGTTACAATATTGTTGAGATGTTATTGATACTAGAATTTTTTAGGCTTGAAATTGATTTTAAATATATGGTGGTCTTTTATGCTGTGAAATGAGATGATTTAATTGCTTGTGGGTTTTAGTTTTGGATGCTCATATTAGTTTTGATTCTGAACTTTAAAAAGTACAAATTACATGGATTATGCTTGGATTGAATGACTAATGCATAGTAGGAGACTTGAACTTGGAGTCTTGAAGTTAAATAGAGGTATTTTTTTCCTACTTACCTTTAGATTTACAAATTATATTAGAAATTAAATGCATTGGATACATGTTTAATGATTTTTCTTAACTTTACATGTTTACTGTTCTTATCATAATTATTGTGATTTTTTAGCCTATTTATTATTGTTTATAATTATTATTTATTTTTTTATTATATGATTGGTTCGACCAGTGACACAAAAGTTGAACCAATAACCCATTGATCCAATCCCTCTGCTTGATTGATGTCTAGGCCAGATTTTAAAACTATGGGAAATAGTGGTTTGAAAAGGGAAAAACATCAAAAATGATTAGAGAACTAGGATCGCAATCGATGGATGGGTAAATCAATATAATGTCACAAACGTAAATCCATGGGTAATGAATCTTTAGATTGATAATGCTGGCCGTCTCCTTCACAGCCAAGCCTTTACCGAGCTCCTAGGAGAAAGCAATACGAAAATGCCTAGGTGCTGCTTTGATGGCTTGAAAAGGAGGTGAAAGCAATATGAGAAGGCCTTGGAGTTGCTGTAATGGCTCGACAAAAGTAAGGTCTCAAAACTTAAGAAATCACATGATTTAATTAACTTTTGTAGTTCCAACTTCCTGGAAAAGTGGTACAAAATGGGCTCACTGCATCATGCTGCCATAGTTAAATCAGCAAATTGAAGACAAAACAAGATCTTACACCTAAATGAACTTTTTCCAATAAACACCTATTAGAATCTAGAATGAGTCTTAAGTAATATGGGAATATCATTTCCGCAGTCCAGATGAAATATTCGATCATCCAATATACTTAGTTGGTACTTTTTACCCGACTTAACACTAACATTGAAAAGTCCATTTGGTGCTGTTGTTGCTCTCACTTATCACAACTCTTCCCTATTCATTATCCCCATTAAATTAATCAGACTTCCATCATTTAACTGATGGTGCAATTCTATATTGAGGACAACCACTCTCCAGTAAACAGCATGAAGCCTTGACAAGTTCAAATTATAGGTCATTATACCGAGTTCCCAACCCTTATGGTGATGTAATGCAACAAATGGAAAGAAAGATGAACATAGAAGCAAAGGTTGGAAAAAAATCAATACCAGAGTAACTCGTCCAAGAGCGCTTCTGTTTCCTAGAGAACTGACGCCAACCATTTCACAATCCATAGCTAATGCATCTGTCAGACTGTCAACAAGTTGATGAGTTGAATAGCAATGCAACACCAAACGAAATCGATTATAACTACAAATCTATACAACACAATAATAATTCCTTGATGTGGTGAAAAAAAAAAAGGAATGATAAATGACAAGAGGTCCAAGTCAGAATGGATGTTTAAAAATCCCCAAGTTTTCATTTTTCTTTTCATATTATTCCTTTAGAATCAAAATAAGTATGAGGTTTTGATCATTACCATCCCAGCTTAGGAATCAGCTGTCCAAGTACAAATGGTAATTCTTTTGTTTTCTACTTCTCTATTTCGTTTGGAGATTTAGTAAATGAATGGAAAAAGTTAAGGCAATGCCGAAAGCAAGGAAAGATGAATTGATTGCATTTCCTCTCCTAGTTAAACTTAGAAATTAAAAGTTTCGTAAAGTTGATAAGAAACAATGGGATAAATAAAAGGGAAACCAAACCTTAAACTAAGAACAATACATACCCCCTTAATTTCTTTTTCTTTTTTGCTTTCCATGGCAATCAGAGAAAATGCCTTCTTCGAAACTTTTTCTCAGGGTAACCAAACAAAGCCTAAAGAAACGAACTTTCAAGAGAAAAGGGTGGGGAGAGAGAAAAGTAAGACAAACGCACCTACAATCGGAAGAGCTTGGCGCAAGAGCAATAGGTCCAGACTCATCGGACTCCGCATTGGCTCTCTCTTTACGCTTTCCTGTGAAAATCAATACTTTTCTTTAACTCAAAACCGTCGAAGAGTGTGTAATCAAAAAGAAGATAAACTGAAGCTAAAACCGAGATTGTTTACCTAATACGCCTTTTGGGGTTTCAATTCCTGGCTTGTGTGAAGTGTTTGAAGATGATTTAAAGCCGTGGCCTTTCAGTTTCTGCCGAGCACAACATAGAATTAGCAGAAAGTTAAGAGAGAGAAACGGGAGGTTTCGCAGATCAAAAAACAACTGTAGATAGAGAGAGAGGATACATACTTGAGAGAGCTGAGCCCAGTTAGGGTTGAGCTGGAACTTCTTACTAGGGTTTTTCAGATTACTTCCCATCTTCTTCTTCTTCGGTGACTTGTTTCAATTCGTTTGCTCAAATAGGTGGTATTGATTCAAGACTCTCCAGTCCCTCCAACCCCTTCATAAAACGACGTCGGCTTTGTCTATCGGATATTCGGATCCTTATTTTTGCAGAATAAAGCGAAAAGATAAGGGCTATTCAGTAATCTCAATATTTGGTCCAAGACTATTTGTCATTTCTTTTAAATTAGGGAAATTTAGAGGTCGATCCCCCTATATGGACTTGTTTGAACTTAAGTCCGTCAAAAAAATTTATTTGTTATGAAATCCGTTTTTTGTCAATTTTTTCATATTATCCGTTCCTTTTAAAAGTGTAATAAAATTAAAAATTAAAAACTCCTAAATTTTAGGAGTTTGACTAACATTAAAATTTTTTATCTCTCATGTCTATCTATATCCATATAAAAGTTAAGAGTTTGACTACTATTAAAATTTTTCTCTCTTATCTATATATATATATATATATATATATATATATATATATCTGTGTGTGTGTGTATATATATAGTAACATTAAAAATAAAAAATAATAACATTCAAATACAAAAAAAGTTATTATTTTGACACAAAAAATAATACATTTAAATACAAATAAATAGTAACATTTAAACATAAAAAAAATTGAAACATTCAATATTAATATTTTTAAAAATAACAACAGTAACATATTCAATAAAAATAGTAACATGTTTAACAAAAACTGTAACATACTTAACAATAATTATTTCTCTCAAATTCAATCGTAAAAAATAGTACCATTTAAATACAAAAAATAGTAACATTGAATATTAATATTTAGGAAAATAATAATAGTAACATGGTCAACAATAATAGTAACATGTTCAAAAATAATATTACATGAACAATAGCATACTCAACAAAAGTAGTAACATGAACAGTAACATAATAAAAAAAATAGTGACATAAATTTGAATTTTACTATTCAAATTCATAGTAACTTTTTTTTTTTGTATTTAAATATTTCTAATTTTTTTAATGTTGCTATATAAATAAAAAGAAAAAATTTAATATTAGTCAAACTCTTAATCTATATATGGATATAGATAGATATGAGTGACATATTTAAAGACTTAAGAGCGTAAAACAGCATCTGAAAATCTGGAATAAGGATATCTTTAGCAACATCTTTGATATTGTGAAGAAAGTCGAAGACAAACCGCTACAAGCTAAAATAGCTTTGAAACATTGTTAGACTGATGGGAATGAAAAAGAGCCAAAGAGGATCTGAACCTTGCTCCCGCTTCCTCACCTGCTCATCAAGCCATTTTTCGTCTTTAACTCCCGAAATAGGAAGAGGGGTACTTTACAAATAGGGGCAATTGCTTTGCACCCGACTGTGATAGCCCTCTCGATACCTTATTGGAATTTTGTATATAATGACTTATATATAATTTTAAACATGGACTTAGCCCCTTACAAGTTTTCTTACAGGACTTATTTTCAAACAAGTACATCTAAGAGACTTACTTCCAATTTTCACTTTAAATTAAATTGACTTTTTAATTTCGATAAATCTTAATTTTGTACTCGGATACTATATACACAAATGTAATATATATTTTTCACAAAAAATGTGTATCAGTTTGGTGATGTTCTTGTATCCAAAAATATTTGCCTGCATGAATCTATTGATTAAAAAAAATTAGAGAAAATTCCGGTTACACTCTTTCTAAGTTTATAATATCTTCAAGGGAATTTCTTGTTTTTTTAAATTTTTATTGACACTCCTTGTCAGATTAAAGGTATTAATTAGAATGTAATTTTACTAAATTGTCTATGATATATTTTAGAAAAAATTTCATCTACACTGCCTTTAGATAAACATATCTTCAATAAAACCCCAACTATTTTCTAAATTTTTTTACGTGTTAAAATTCGGGTCGATTAAAATTTGATTCGAGTTAATTAAAACTTTATTCGATTAAAATTTTTGTTTACGTATTAAAATTTGAGCTAATTTAAATTTTAGTTGAGACTCAAATCAAATTTTAATTAACTCACATTAATCGGCCCAATTTTTTATACATAAAAAATATGTGATAACAAATAATTACCATCCTTCAAAGGATGCAAAGGAAAAAGTGGCTTCTCTTCGAGATTTGGCGAGCACAGCAAGGAAAACTCTGAATCCCTCTCTGAAGACTGGGATCCACGAAGCCCAAGCCTCAGTTCTGTGGCCTTCAAATTCAGACAGCCATTATTGTCTCCCGATGTGGTGGATATTGTAGAGCTACCTACGGAAGAACAATCAGACAACCCCATGTAGTTATGCTCTTTCAGTCCCGAGATGTTATGAAATATATTACGGCCCAAGGAGGCTGGAGAAGCCAACAAAGTGATGTTACTCTGATTCGCTTCCTCCCCAGCACCAAGCAGTGGCGGAGACATCACAATTTCGAACAAAACTCCCAACTCCTTTTCTTTTCTATATGCCCAAACCTGCTTATTTAAGGACAATTGACTCAATTCTATCCTTTTAATCTGAAAATTCAAACAGAAGACCAACAAGATGAAAATAACAACATAAGAACCAAACTCCAAAAAGAGAAAGCCAACAAATTTGATAAACTGGCCAGTCTAAAACAGACCATCCCATAAAAACTATCAGAATTACAATCTCAAGATTCTCCTATACAGTAATCAACATATCTAAACCTAATTATCTTCTAAAAGCCACCAATCCAAAATACAAACAGTACACAAACCCAAATTCATGATAATTGTAAAAGTAGCCTATACAGTAACAAGCATTTAAAGTAGTTGAAATCTTCTAATCTAAAGACAGTACCATTAAGGGATAAAGCCAAGAGTGAGTAAAAATTGACCATTTCAAGTATTAAGGAACAATAAATTGCCAAAGATATAACCAACTTAAAAAAAAAAATTCCAATTCACTGCAAGGGGCTCAAAATCAAACAACCAATTCTCAATGAATATCTATCCCACAGTTTGTGCACGCAATCGCAGACATATAGGTAGGTACTAACCCATAAACATATTTCTCAAATAGTCATAAATCTCAGGTAATTTATCAAGTAGAAGAGTTCATAGTCTAAAAGACCAAACATTTTCCAACCAAATCAAAACTCTTAAAGGAGATTTAGATCTCCAAAACATACTCAATATCTGAAGTAATTACAAGGAATAACTAACCTAAAGCACAGCGTGAAAAATAGAAGGCCTGAACACAGAAGAAATGTAGAAAGTGAAGCTCAGAGAAAGAGATTTACACTTACCTGAAGTAGCTGCTGGATCAGCTTTAGTGATAAAGAAAGAAAGACACGGATGATGATGATGACGACGACGACGGAGTGTTTGATTTGCTGTGAAGAATTCACAGAGAGAGAGAAGGCTAAGAACCCTCCATTTGGCAGAAAGTTACAAAAGCTTATTTGCTCTCCGTCGTGAAACTCAACGCCAGTAAAATAACCGCTTCTGCCTTCAACAAAAGCTTTGCAAGAGAAAGGAAATGAGGGAAAAAGCAAAAAGGATAGAAATTCTTTTTCCCCCTAGAAAAGGAAAAAAAAAAGGTGAGAAAAACTTTTATTTTTCAATCTTTTATTAGTTACTAAAAATATGTACATAGTATTCAGCTTTTCAAATTTCAATCGAATTTGTGGCATATTAGTACATATTAGTACATCGGGTCCTCACAGATTATCAGAACAGAAAACATAACATTTTTTGCAGATTTTGTTTCCATTTTACCACTTACTCTTGATATGTGCATATTTAGGTTCCCATTGTTGAGTTATCTTTCCTTAAAATCAATTTGGTTAGTTAACTGTCAATATAATGGCATTTGGCATTTGACATTTCAGAGGCTTGTTTTTTGCTTTTGTGTGCAGCTCCAAGGGCGGTGGAGAAATGTCGGAAGAGGAACTAGGTTATAGTTTAGACATGATTATTGGTATCCATCCAGCTGCACATGAATGGGAAGAATTGGGAGAAGGATTACAAAGCTCATTCCCTAGGTTCCTACTGAAGGTTGAGGAATTGGTCAGATGTTGGCACTGGACAGCACATCATGGGGTAGACATTTTCCTTTTAGTTATCGTGTTTTCTTTTCCTTGTGATTCACGTCTTTCTTCGTCCTGTCGAATCTAAAACTCATATGTATGTCTGCAACTTTAGGTGATCAGTGTGTGATGAATTCTTGCTCCCAGATAGGAATATTGGTATGTGAAGTGTATTTTTGTCGAACATGTGTGTAATCAAAACAAAGTTGTTTGTTAGTCGGGTTTCTGGTCAGCTGCTCTCAGTGTGCATGCACGCAAATTTCACATTGATGTGTTCTATATCATGATCGAAAGTATTAACTTGTATGCTTTATCTATGTGATCTCGGTCAATTGTCTTAGCATTCTTAGTGTTCGCTATGGAAGATTTTCACTTTTGTACACCTCACTTCCATTTCAAGAGCTTGTTTGATGTAACCCATATCAATTCACCTCCTTGTCTCTTTTCCACTCCACATATTTAAAGATGGAAGACCCTTGTACGTTTGTGTAGGTAGGGATGGAGTTTTACTTTTAGGTTTGATCAGCATTAACATTATTAGTATCTTTAGTATTGTGATTGACGTTTCATTTTTTACTAATAAAAATTGCTATCCGTTTGGCTTTTCTTGAGCAAATTTGATGATCATGCCTTTTTGATTTCCCCCGATTATTATTCTAAATCAGTTAATAATTTGTATGACCATCAAGGGAGTTTTTTACTGATTTTGTTTAATCCGATAGAATTTTTTTCTAATTTTTTTATCAAAGACCAAAGAGTACTAGATTTTTAGGCATTTTTCCTATCTAATCGAGTCTAGTTATGGTTCAGACAAGCCAAATTATGATTCAACGGGTGTGTCGTTTATGAACAATTCTAAAAGGTTGAGATCGATCTAGTACTCTTTGAATCGTAAGTACAGAACTCGGCATTTTAGTGTTTTCCTATAAATAGTTATGGTTAGCATGTGGGTGCTTGGTTGATAGGTGGCATTATTGAGACGCTCCATC